AAAAAAAAAAAAAAGAATTGAAAAACACTGTGCTAGAACTATGAGAAAGAAATTTTTGTCATTTAAGCCACTTGGTCTAGGATATTTGTTGTGGCACCTCAAGCCAACTATGACAGCAAGACATTACAAAATGTGTGGATGTGCAACAATTTCCAAAATATACAAATAAATGAACAAAGCAAGATGCAGAAAAGTGATAAATTTGTCTAAAAAAAATACAGGAATGTATTTATATATCACTCATGTACCCACAGTATAGTTCTGGAAATTTCCTCAGGAATCCCACAGTAATTGCAACTCAGAAAGGGAACTGGTGGCTTTTTGAATTTTGCAGAAAATCCATAATTCCTCTACTATCACACCACCAAACCACTGAAAAATGGAGTGGATGTCTGAAGAGGCTGGAAGATAGCCCAGCCTGGGGGGAAGGGTGTTACATAGAGCATAGAATTGGATTTAGTTCTGGGAGTGACTTGGGATGGTGACCCCAAGCTTGCATGTCTGTATTCCTGGAGTTAGATTGGTTTCTCACACATGTGGCCTGCAGAGGCAAACTGAGCTTGGTCTGCAGAGACTTAGGTCTCCAGGCTGGGTCAGCGGTCCCCAAAATACCAGTGTCTTCATGGATGCTTGCAGTTCCACAGTTCGGAGGTCTCTGGGAGGGTGGCACACCACAGACTGAACCCTACACTAGATGTCCTCCAACCCTCAGAGCAGGAGTCTGGAATGCACCTGGGGACATGCTGGGGGCTAAGGCCAGTTCACCTGGAGCCTTTTTTTTTTTTTTTGAGACAGAGCCTCAAGCTGTCCCCCTGGGTAGAATGCCGTGGCATTACAGCTCACAGCAACTTGGCGGGTCGGGCTGGGGATTCGAACCCGCCACCTTAGGTGTACGTGGCTGGCGCCTTAGCCGGTTGAGCTATAGGTGCCGAGCCTCACCTGGAGCCTTTTATGGGCCCAGACTATGGGTATTGCCCCCAGCCAAGAATGCAGACCCCTCCCCCAGGGAATGTTTGCCTGGTCTCCCTAAGACTTATTCAGAGGAGGCAGATGCTGGTGTTTCCTGAGGCCTGTGAGCCTGAAGCCTGCCCCTGACATGGGGGCTAGGTATTCATTATTGGGAGTTTCTTCATCTGTCACATGGGGGCTGAAGAAACCTACTTTGCAACACTGTAATAAGGCTGGAATACATGTGTCCTAGTACTGTGGAGGGAATTAGCCAACCATGAGAAATTATCATTGCTCTTGTTATTTTATTATATTTTTATTTTTATTTTTGGCCGGGGCTGGGTTTAAACCCACCACCTCCGGCATATGGGGCTGGCGCCCTACCCTTTTGAGCCACAGGCGCCGCCCTATATTTTTAATTTTTATGAAGGCTCTGACATGGCACTCAAAGAAATTTTATTGTCAGATGGGATTTGGCTGACTCTCCCAGAGTCAAATTTTAGGGTGCTCTCCCATTGGTGTTTTCCTTGACAACTTTCTCTCACAGTTACACTCAATTCCTCGGCAATTCTGTCTGGTGCCTCTAGAATCTATTCAGAGCACACATTTGATCTGAGCCATCAGAGTCATCATCACTGCTGAATTTCAGTCCCCTTCACCTGCTCTGGCTTCCACCCTTTTCTTTTCTTTTCTTTTTTTTTGCAGCTTTTGGCCGGGGCTGGGTTTGAACCCACCACCTCCAGCATATGGGGCTGGCACCCTACTCCTTTGAGCCACAGGTGCCACCCCGCTTCCACCCTTTTTTTCAGAGGTCATAGGGCACCTGTGAACACCTAAATTAGAGCATGGTGTTCTTCTGCTTAGAGCCCTCCATGGCTCCGGTCTCACTCAGAGCAAAACCAAAGTCCTCCCTGTGGCCCACAGGTCTTGAACTATCTGCCACTTCAGCTTCCTTCTTTTGTCATCTCCCACTCCTATAGCTGCTGCAGCCACACTGGGATTCTTGCCTTCCCAGAACAGATGAGCACACCAAGCCTCAGAGCCTCTACACTTGCCATCCCCTCATCCTGAAATACTCTTCCGGTAGGTGTTCCCAGGACATGGAAGTCTCTATTCACATCACATTACCAGTTTTGCAGAGAAGCCTTCTTCAACTCCCATCAACATCTCTGCATTGTCACTGGAATTATCTCCTTTATTTTATCACTCCATTATTGTCTATGTTCTCCACTTGAATGTCAATTCCACAAAAGCAAGGACTTGGGGCTGTCTGTTCACCGTTGTGGGGTTTAGCGTCCATAAATACATAGTATATACTCCTGCATCTTTTCCAGACTCTACTATCTTTGGCTGCATTCCTCCACCAGCTTCAGCTGCATTTCCTATAAATCCCTATAAACAGAAAGGGCCTGCAAAACAGCTCTTGGGGAAGACAATGGCGGGGGGAGGGCATCAGTCCGCGACTGATTGGGGTACCAGGGTCTGAGCAGTCTTGGGTACACTTGGGCTGCCGGTTGAGCCACTGGTGTCCAGCTCCTCACGCTGAGGCGACGAGCGCTCGGAGCTGCCATGGAGACCCGGTGGCAGGCAACAGCGCAGGCTGCCGGAAGCCCCCACCAAACTCCCAGATCGCTGGGAGCTACGAGGGCCTTGGCCGTAGGGGTGGCGGCCACAACAGACAAGGCGCAGGAGAGCGTGGCGCAGGTCGCTGTTGGTGAGCGTGTAGATGATGGGGTTCAGGAGCGAGTTGGCCATGGCCAGGCCCAGGAAGGGGTCGGCTTGCAGGAGCACAGGACAGGCGCGTGCAGGGCATGCCACGTCAAGCAACAGCAGCAGGAAGAGGGGTCCCCAACACGCCACGAAAGCTAGGAGTACGACGCTGAGCGTGCGCAGCAGTGCCAGCGAGCGTGGCGTGCGCCGTTTCCTCATCGAGGTGCTCTTGCCAGTCCCAGGCCATTCCCGCAGGCGCCGTGCGTTGGCGCGCACCTGGCAGTAGATGAGCGCATAGAGTGCGCAGATGGCAGCCAGGATACCCACGAAGGCCAGCACACAGAAGAGCACGTAGGCCTTGGCGTAGAGCGGCAAGACAGTGGAGCAGGTATCCAGATGACCCAGGCAATTCCAGCCGAGCGCCGGCAGCAGCCCGAGGAGCAGGGACACTCCCCAGGCAGCAGCCGCCAGCGCCAGCGTGCGCCCCCGACTAGCGGCGGGAGACGGGCCCCTGCGCGCCATGGTAAGGCGACGTTCAAGCGCTATGGCAAGGAGGCTTAGCACCGAAGCGGAGAGCGCCACGAAGACTCCTCCTTCACGGGCGAACCAGAGCGCAGGCGACAGTCGCAGCGTGAGCGGCCCAGATAGCAGGATGTTGGCGGCGTAGGCAGCGCCAGCCAGTAGATCCGACAGCGTCAGGCTGCCCAGGAGCAGGAACATGGGCGCGTGGAAGCGCGGGTGGCGCCAGAGCACTAACAGCACGGCTAAATTCTCCAGCACGATGAATGTGCATACCGCCAGGCTCACCACGGCGTCAGCGCGCAGGCCGGCACCAGGCTGGTAGCGCGCCCCGCGGAGCTTGCCGGTGTAGTTGTAATGGAGGACGATAACTTCGCTCACCGGTGCAGGCCGCAGCAGCCCCGACTCCATGGGCCGCGCACCTCAAGGCTGTGGAGAGATAGGACAGTGTTAGGCCAGCTGACCCCGTGTACCTGGTCCCCGCGGACCCCGGGTCCTAACCTCTACCCATCACCCCACACAGACACGAGGTCCCCACGGGAGTTCGGGATAGATAGGGGTGTCCATGGTGACAGACTCACACGGGTGATATACAGCCTTAAAAAAGGACATTAATGGCTCAGCACCTGTATCTCAAGCAGCTAAGACGCCAGCCACATACACCTGAGCTGGTGGGTTCGATCCAGCCCGGCCTGCCAAACAATGACAGCTGCAACCAAAAAATAGCCGGGCGTTGTGGCAGTCGCCTGTGGTCTTAGCTACTTGGGAGGCGGAGGCAGGAGAATGGCTTGCGCCCAGGAGTTGGAGGTTGCTGTGAGCTGTGATGCTACAGCACTTCACCCAGGGCAACAGCTTGAGGCTCTGTCTCAAAAAAAATAAAGAGAAAACTGAGTCCTAGGGAGGAGGGATGGACCTTTTTAGTCACAGTCAGGACTTCAGAGAACCAGGCGTGAGAACAGACCTACAGGAAGTCATTGGCTCAGCTATGATGGGGGTGGCCGTGGGGACCCAAATACACGGAGATAGGGGTTACACATGCTCTGATGAGGATGCCAACACCTCCACCCCCATTCCCCCTCGGCCGTCCCAGCTTGCCTACCAGCAGGACTGAAGTATGGGAACTTGCAATGGCACGACAGAAGGGGAGGTGACACCAGGGGATTCCAAACTCCCTCTCACCCACCTCAGGCCCGCACCCAGCCAGGAAGTCGCCTTTCTCCTCCAGAGGCCTCGGAGAAATAATTGGGAAACCCCTGCAAAGGGCGGTGCTCTTTTCCAGACGTGGAGACCCGCCGCTAAGGGAGATCCCATCCGGGCCAGGCCGAGTCCCGGAGTCCCAAAGAGCCCAGAGCTGTACACTCACCCCCACGCCCTGGTCGTGCGCCCCCAGCAGTCAGCTCTGCCTACCACCCAGTGAAAGGACACTGCTACGGGGGGCGGGACTGGAGCTGGCAGGGCAGGGGGAGGGCCAGCGACCCTGAGAGCTGTCGGTCGCTAGCAGTTGCCCCCTCCCTTAGGGCTGGGCAATCAGCCCGTAGCTGCCAGCCTGTGCCACCCTCCACGGCACCGGAGCGCGCCCCGGCGGCGACTGGCACCGGCGAGCCCTCAGCTGCCGACTCTGGGCCTGGGCTGTCCTCCCACGGACGCTCTGTTGCGGTGGAAGACGCAGGAAGGGGAGGGTTCTCCAGCGGGGGCTCCCACAGCCAAAGCCTCTTCCCCTCAGAACAGGAGCCTCACCTGTCCCGGGATGCCAAGGCTCTGGCTCCTCCCCATGTCCCACCTACCTGCTAACTGAGCCTCCGGCGCTGCTCTCTAAGTAGGCCGGGTCGACTTAGGGACCAGGGCAGTGGGGTGGGGGGCAGGGAGGAATCTCCAGTACCGGAGGAGCTTGAGGCTTCCCCCTAGCATATATTCAGATCCTTCCAGCCCGGAGCACAGGTCCCTCCCCATTTCCTGCTCCCACCCCCAGCTGCGGGTGTTTGGGGGAGCTGCCGACGCAGTCAGGATTCCTGTGAGAACTTTTCCCCTCTTCAGATAAGGAGGAGGGTCTGTTCGGTCCCGCCCCCTTGCTCTGGCGTTCCCTCGCTCGGTCTCTTCCACTCTTACCTCTCCGGACAATGTAATTTACTCCTGTACCGTGTTTCTGGGCTGTATCCTCGGCAGACTGTCAGCCCCACCAGGGTGGGGATTTGAGTCTGTTCAGGGCGAGTGCGGGATACAGCCAGAGCCAATTACTGCCTGCTGAGTGACTGAATGAATGAATATCTCTCCTCACTGCCTCTGCATTTCTCTCATCGGGTTTGTGTCTCTTGCCTGTTTCGCCGTCTTTCTGTGTAGATTTCTCTCCATTACTGTCTGTGTCGCTCTCCCACGCCTCTCCCAGGTCGCCGCTCCTCCGACAGGCCACCCCCAGTTCCCAAGAACTTCCAGGCCCGCCCCAGTTCCCTCACCCTCAGACCAGAGGCCACAGCCGAGAAAAGGGACCGGGTCTGGAAGCTGTGGCATTCATCCAGACCATGCACTTTGCTCCTGTGCTCAAGGCCCTGCCAGTCTCGGGTGGGATGAGAATGCCCCAAGAAAAATGATCTAGGAATTAGTGATGGGGGTGAGTTGGGAGAGGGTGTGCCCCTGTGAAAGGAGAGGCACCCAGGCCGGGTCACCCCCTTGTGGCCCCTAGGAGATTCCCGCTCCCTCCCTCAAGATTCCCAGGATGGGCAGAACTTCTGCCTGCTTTGATCAAAGAAAGTCGCGCGCAGCCAGCGGCGTTAAGAGCATTAACCCTTTGGCGACGGGTTCCCTCACAATCTGCAGGCCAAGCCTCCCAGGCAGCCCTCCCCTATGGGATGAGCCCTGAAGATCCCCCAACACAGCGGGACCGCCCCTGGCACCCAGCAGGTGCTCCATAAATGACCTTCCGCGAAGGGGAAGCCCCACAGTAGAGTCGGGAGGTGGCCCATTCACACCTCCAGCAAATGGTGGTCTTTCGGCCCCTACTGGTCCATAGCCCAGCAACCCCCTCTCCTACTGCCTCCCTGTGCCTCTTTCTCACATATGAGGACTCTGGGGACTCAGGCTTCCACATCTTCCACAGATGTCAGAAGTCCCCAGGACTGGAAAATTCATGCTTCCACCCCTCACTGCCACTCCATTCTGGAGGCAACAATTCTTCTTCTTTTTTTTTTAGAGACAGAGTCTTACTTTATCGCCCTCAGTAAAATGCAGATGGCGTCACAGCAACCTCCTGAGTACTTGGGACTACAGGTGCCCACCACAACATCTGGCTATTTTTTTGTTGCAGTTTGGCCAAGGCCGGATTGGAACCCGCCACCCTCAGTATATGGGGCCAGCGCCCTAGCTACTGAACCACAGGCACTGCCCATGGCACAGTTCTTTTTTTTTGAGACAGCCTCAAGCTGTCCCCCTGGGTAGAGTGCTATGGCATCACAGCTCACAGCAACCTCCAAATCCTGGGCTCACGCGAGTGTCCTGCCTCAGCCTCCCAAGTAGCTGGGACCACAGGCGCCCACCAACCGATTTTTTGGTTGCAGCCATCATTGTTGTTTAGCGGGCCTGGTCTGGATTCGAACCCACCACCTTAGGTGTATGTGGCTGGCACCTTAGCTGCTTGAGCCACAGGCGCTGAGCCGTGGCCCCAGTTCTTAACACACAGATCACAGTCTGAGCAACAGTGAGAACCTATCTCTACTAAAAATAAAAAAACTTTGCCAGGTGTCCTGGTGCCCAACTGTATTCCCAACTTCCTGGAGGCTGAGCCAGGAGGATTGCTTGAGCCCAGGAGTTGAAGGTTGCTGTGAGCTATGATGAAGCCACTGCACTCTATCCAAGGTGAGGCCACAGAGCTAGATTGTATCTCAAAAACAAAACAGAACAGGCTAAGAACAGTGACTCATGCCTGTAATCCTAGCACTCTGGGAGACCTAGGTGGGTAGATCACTTGAGCCTCAGGAGTTCAATACCAGCCTGAGCAAGAGATACCCCATCTCTACTTAAAATAGGAAAACAGAGGCAAAAGGATAACTTGAGCCCAAGAACTTGAGGTTGCTGTGACCTATAATGCCACAGCACTCTAGTCAGGTTGCCAGAGTGAGACTCTGTTTCCAAAAACAAAACAAAACAAAACTGACCAGGCATGGTGACTCTCTTCCCTATAATCTTAATACTCTGCAGGGCTGAGGTGGGTGGATTGCTTGAGCTCAGGATTTCAAGACCAGCCTGAGCAAAAGTGAGACCCCCATCTCTACTAAAAATGGAAAAACTAGAATGGGTACCATGGCTCACACCAGTAATCCTGGCACTCTGGGAAGCCAAGATGGGTGGATCACTTGAGCTTAGGAATTCAAAACCAGCCTGAGCAAAGTGAGACTCAATCTCTACTAAAAATAGAAAGACTAGGGTAGCACCTGTTGGCTCAGTGAGTAGAGCACTGGCCCCATATACAGAGGGTGGCGGGTTCGAACCCAGCCCCAGCCAAACTGCAACAAAAATATAACCAGGCATTGTGGCAGGAACCTGTCACAGCTACTTGGGAAGCTGAGGCAAGAGAATTGCCTAAGCCCAAGAGCTGAAGGTTATTATGAGCTGTGATGCCAAGGCACTCTACCGAGGGCAACAAAGTGAAACTCTGTCTCAAAATAAATAAATAAATATAGAATAACCAGGCTTGGCGCCTATAGCTCAGCAGCTAGGGCGCCAGCCACATACACATACACCTGAGCTTGCAGGTTCAAATTCAGCCCAGGACTGCCAAATGACAATGACAACTACAACCAAAAAATACCCAGGAGTTGTGGTGGGTGCCTGTAGTCCCAGCTACTTGGGAGGCTGAGGCAAGAGAATCGCTTAAGCCCAAGAGTTTGAGGTTGCTGTGAGCTGTGACACCATGGCACTCTACCAAGGGTAACACAGTGATACTCTGTCTCAAAAAGAAAGAAAAATAGAATAGCCAGGCATTGTGGTAAGCACCTATAGTCCCAGCTACTCAGGAAGTTGAGGCAAGAGGATTGCTTGAGTCCAAGAGTTTGAGGTTGCTGTGAGCTATGAGGCCCGAGCACTCAACCCCAGCCTGAGCACTCACCCCCTGAGTGAGTCTCTGTCTCAAAAAAAAGAAAAACTATGGCTCGGTGCCTGTAGCTCAAGCAGCTAAGGCGCCAGCCACATATACCAGAGCTGGGTGGATCGAATCCAGCCCGGGCTCGCCAAATAGCAATGACAACTACAACTGAAAAAAAAAGAAAAAGAAAAACTAGTCAGTCATGATGGCAAGTACCAGCTACTCAGGGCAACAGAGTGAGACTCTGCCTCCAAAATACAAAACAAAACAACTCAACTTAGATCGTGTCCCGCCCAGCTCCAAACTCTCTTGGCTGCCTATGTGAGTAATCACTCAAGTACTCAGGTTGGTCAGCAGGCCCTGCACATCTGTCTCTTTTCCTGACACTTACCTTGGTGCTATCCCCCACCCACATTCTGCTCTAGCCTCACAGGGCTGATCCTTGTTCAGTATGCATTTGACCTTTGAACTTGGCAGGAGCTCCCTTCCCCACTTCCCAGCCAGTCACCTCCTCAGAGAGGTCTTCCCTGATCTGTCCTCCCCAGTCTCACATGGTATTTGGCATTGTCTGAAATCAGCTTATTTGTTCATTCATCTGTCCTCTCATATGTCTTTTGTCTATCCCTCTCTGCCCAGATGTGTAAAAGTTAAGGGCTCATGGGTGGGGCCTGTGGCTCAAAGGAGTAGGGTGCGGCCCCATATGCCGGAGGTGGCAGGTTCAAACCCAGCCACAGCCAAAAAAAAAAAAGTTAAGGGCTCAGAATCTAGAGCCAGGCTCAGCTATTTTGTGTTGTCTAGGACTCTGGGCTAGTAATGCCCCTTCTGAGATTTAATGGCCTCATCTGTAAAATGGAAATAAAACCACACCCACTCCCAGGGCTGTTGTTGAGGGCAAAAGGTGTGGTTTAGAAGAGGTGGGGTGTAAGGTGAGAGCTCAAGAAACGTTAGTGCAATACTAGTTGTCTACCACTGTATCCCTGAAAGGAATTAGGAGGACATCCAGGTCAGGCTGCATTGCCACCACCCTGAACCCGACACCACCTTGAGCACTGCACCCCATGCCTACTCCCATCTGCTCCCCAGGAAAATCCAGTCTCTTCCCAGGTGCAGGCACCCCTGGCCTCTGCACCCCCGCTGCAGCCTGCAGCAGCCTGCCCATCTGAGGCATGCCTGGGCTGGCACACCCACACCAGCTGGTTCTGCTGCCAGGGCCCTTGCCCACAGGGGCCACCCCACCCAGTGCCCATTCTCGCTGAGCCAGGCCTGTGTCTCCAAGAGAACAAAATGTCTCTGTGGTCCCCTCAGACCCCAACCCACTCAGAGAGTCAGAAGACTACTGC